AAGAAAAATTATGTTTCAATAATTCCATTGAATAAAAGATTTAATGTTTAATTTATTTTATTTAATAATAATAAAGAGATTATCTAATACAATGAGTATATAATAATATTGTATACCTGAATAAAATAATTAGAATACCATCTGCTCGATATTACTATTTATTATTATACACCCAATATTCAAGACAATATTGGGGACCTGAGATAATAATAAAATTTATAACACACTTATCACTATTATATTGGATACATGATAAAATTTACAAAATTAATTATTGGATATTTAGTAATAATCAATCATACCAGATATCCAATATATTTATTCTTCTCTGATAGGTATTCAATAGGTATCCGATATTGTAAATATATCGGGTACCCAATAGATACTCAATAAATATCTAATATTTGAATTTTAATCTGTAATAGGTTATTTGGTCATTTATAAAGTATTAATTTATATAACCTTGGTCATATTTTTTAACCAATTAGATTGCAGAATTTTATAGATATAAATTTCAAATGGAATTAATAAAATATATAATAATTTGTATATCAAAAAGTACAATTATTATTAAATGTATATTATATATAAATTTAATTATTATTAATTAAATGTAAATTATTATTATTAATTAAAAGTGTTTTTAATTAAATATAAATTATAATTATTATATTATTAATTAGAAGCATATTTAATTATTATTATTAAATGTAATATAATAATTATTATTATTAAATATAAATTCAATTAGTATTATTAAAAGTAATTTATTATTATTAATATACATTAGTAAATATTTTATTTGACCCTAAGAATACAGGAGACTCTAAAGTTAATTCAAATAAAGTACTTAAATTCTATTTTCCAATATTATCATTGGCTGAATATATTTTTCTACCTTCTAAATTAAAATTGCCATTTCATTCTGTTGATAAAAATATTTAATCATTCTCATCATCAAATTTATTTTCTTAATTTTTTAATTATATTCAATTTTCAATTAATTGAATTTATCTTTGTTCTTCAAAATTTTGACCTTTGTCATTATTAGTTTTATTTTCTATATTAACTTTATTATTATTATTAATATTATTTCTAAAATTAATTTCATCTTCATTATCACTAACTTGTATATCTGATTCATTATCTATATAATATAATTCATTATCTTCAATTTCTTTATTTGAATCTTTATCATCGGAGATAATTAATATAGCTATATATAATAGTTTCATTTCATAATCATATTCTTTAATTTCATTTACTCTACAAGTATATAAAATTTCATTTCGAATTTGACTCATAGCCAAAACTTTTTCATACTATATTTGTATAAAAATTAATTAATTTACTTTATATATTTTAAACAAATTAAATTAAATACAATTAAAATAAAACCTTTAGCCAATTTCACTGATTAATATGAAAATAACCTATACTTGATCATAAATATTTAACTGAAATAGAATTTACACAGATTCCTATATCATTTGTTGATTTTCAAAAATCTACTAGATTTCCATTAAATTATTTAAATGAACCCATATTATATAAATCTTCTCCTCTTTTATATTTAATTAATTCAGTCAAAATTGATATAGACTTTAGATTAAACCAAGTTTTATAATAATATTTAAACCATTGTTCAATATGAGTTCAAGTAAGATTTAAAGTTATTAAGTGAAACCTTCTAAGTTTATGTAGGAGATGAAATACAAATGATAGAATTAATAAAGGTTGTTCCTATTCATTCCAACAAGTTTCTATTCTTTTTATCATTTTTACACTAAATTCTTGATTATGATGATTATCCAAAATTTTTATTGTATATGTGAAACAATGTAATACTTCATAAAGATAGACAGTATCTTTCTATAAATTATTAAGAAATTCACATAGTAAATATAATAAAGTTTATAATTCAGATAATGTAATCTAAAATTCTTGATTATTGATTATATTAGCAATATCATCAGGAAGTTTTCTATTATTATTTCAATCAACTGTTTGTTTATTTATTGGTATATTAGGAATACCATTATTTCTTGTTACATTTGTTCGATTATCATTAAATTTTGCTAAAAAAAACTATAAATAATTAAATTAATATATATTTTTTATTATTAAAAATATAAATTTATATATAAATATAAATATTTAATCTTAAGTATTAATTTAGACTTTAAAAAATAAAATAAAAGTAAAAATAATATGAATTTCATCTAGTATTTCCTGGTTTAATTAATGCAATAGTTTTATTATATATTCATATTTGTTTATCTCTAAGATTTTCAATAAAAAAAATTGAACTATAAAAAAAAACTAATAATTTATATTACTTCTTTAGAAATTCTCTGATATAAAATATTTTCCTTAAATATTTCTCCAAAAATCAAATTCATTTAATGTGTCATATAGGATAAAAAAAGTTTGGAAGTATATTTTTTTTGTAATTGTCATTTAAAAATTAAAAAAAAATTTAATAATAAAACTTTTATAATATTATTAAATAAATAATATACTGTATAAAAAAATATTCTCCTACAGAATCAGAAACAAATGTTTTGATATTAATATACTCTTTTTTAATTTTGTTCATTAATTTTTCAATATATTTAATAACATCTTCAGTTTTTAATCTTTCACTACTTACATTATATGTACTTCAAATTAATAGTTATTCTGATATAGTAACAAGTACAACTCTTCAAATATGTTCTTGTTTTACATTTGATCAGCTATTAAATATTGCAATTATACCATCTTGATCTTGTTTTACAAGTTTAATAATATTTTCTTGAAATGTTTGAGAATTTTTTTACAAAATCTTTCTTACTAAGGCTTTATATTTTAGTAGTTAAATTTCAGGTAAAATAAAATTAAAAATAATAATTGTTTCTTTATTTTCTACAAATGTGAATGGTAAACTATTTGATATTATCATATGAAGTAACAATTGCTCGAAATATGAATAATTATTTTTTGATAATAAACGACATATAAAATTGTCAATATTGACTTGTGTAGATGGTTTTTGTCATTTGGCTTCATTAATTTCAATATTATCTATTAAAATAATAAATATTAAAAGTCAAAATAATAAATATTAAAAGTTAAAAAGAATCAAATTAAAATTGTAATATTATATTATATATATTACCATTATTTTCTAGTATTTTTACACTTATTTTTATTTTCTGATATTGGCAGTACCAAAATTATTTATATTTCTTCAAGTGTTTTATATTCTTTTAAATTGGAATATTTTGTTAAGTAGTTATAGCATAAACATGCACAATTTGAAGTATAACATTTAGACTTCATTTGGATTACCTCTAAACCATTATATTTTTTTATATAAAAATTACAAATAGCAAGTGTATTTGTGACATTATTTGAATTTTTTATTAAGGTAAAATAAACACGAAAATTATGTGAAACCATTTTTAATAAAGTTTAAATTAGATCAATCTTTTATATATAAAAGTCATATAAATTATGACTATCGGTATATGACTAATGTTCATATTGGTTATATGAGTAAAGTCATATCATTATAACCAATTGACATATGACAATGGTCATAACTTATATAACTTAAGATTATTTTTAGAAATTTTATATAACTTAGATCATAGTCTATTATTACAGTAATGTACAGTAAGGCACAGTAGTAATACAGTAATAAAGATCATTAGATTTAAGTATAAAAAAAAAACTGAAATTACCTTGCTCTTAGTTTACAATTTTATAATTTTGAATTTTGATAATTTGTAACTTATTTGAAATTGATAAATTTAATTTTATAATTTGTAATTCCAAAATAAACACTTGTAAAAATTATTCTGCAAATGAATTAATAAAATAATAAATATTGGAAATATTAAATAAAAGTCATATTAAATGATAAAATATATAGTTAATAAAGGAATAATGAATATTATAGAATTAAATACTTGATTGTATAATTGTATAATATTGTTATTCCTGAGTTAATGAAATTAATAATAAACTATTATTATTATAAAATTTGAACTTGGAATAATACTTAACTTGAATAAATAGAAGTAATACTCAAGGATAATAAAATTAGAAGATAATTAATGGATGTTGACACTAAAAATGATAATGAACTTGAAAAGATATTGGAATAAATTGAATGAAAGGTCTGATTTCTTTTCTAAAATAACTGAATCAGTGATGCCTTCTAAAACAATTGAACAACAGTCTTACCTTCAAGAAAGAATTATAAACTCCTTAAAAGAACTGTTAAGTTACTTACTGGTTTAATCTCAAGGGAAACAGGAATCACCAGTAACAGCATGACATAAAACTGTAAGTGTATTGATTATTTGCTAAACTAAATAAATAGCCAATTAGGTTTATAAAGTCACTCTATAACATAATTGCATTTGGTTTGATCACATGATAAAGTAATTCTTCTAATGACCAATTATATTAAAGCACGGGATTATGGTGTTCAACATCAGAGATAATGTGAATTTATGTGATAGAAAACAAATAAATTGTGAATTTATCAATAATAACAATAATAGCAATGATAATAATAATTCATCATCATTATCATCACCAGCAATAGCAACAACAACACTACCACCATATAATCTTCACACAAGAAGACCCAATTCCCCTAGCTATAATTGTGGTTGTGTAACTAAAAAATATCAAAAAAAATATCAAAGCATCATCATCGCCACGACAATATGATAATTTTAATTTTTCCGAAGATAATAATTATGACAATGATCCACCTTCATGTATAGGATGTCCCGTATATTGTCCATTTTTTATATTTTTTATAATTATTTTTTTTTGTAATTTATTTTTCATATATACAGTATATTTACGTGTATTTTTTTTTGAATTTATCTGTTATATTGTTATCGATGTTACTTATGTTCGTGAATTTTTCTTGACCATTGGTCAGGATGCTACGTGATTTTTATTTGAAATTAAAGACATTAACTAATAAAAAATATTTTTCAAAACGTGGTCGATAAAAATCTTTTCCGAACAATTATAATAAAGTTATATAAATTAATATTAGACGAAATTTCGTACATATAATCGTGTTTAAATGCGTTTATCGGGATTTATTTTGGTATATTATTATTGATTTCATGTATATATATGATCGAGAATTTCAAAAATTTGCCTTGGCGAAATTATCTCAACTTTGTGAACTTGGTTCACGAAGTGATCGGCGTTGCGAAAATAATGCGTGATTTTTTTATTTATGAAATTTATTATGTTATATACCGAATATAATTAATTGAGTAAATCTGTTTTATATAAAAAATGGAAAACACACAATCCAAAATCGAATCATTAGAAGAACAACTTTCCAAGGTCGTAACTGAGTATACTGAACTTAAGAAGTTTATTGAGGTTGAGACTGAGAATATAAAATTAAAACGAGAAAAAGAAGAAATCGAATCCAGATTCACGAAATTGGAACAGAAAGATAAAGAAAAAGCTGAGCTTATTTCTGAACTAGTCCGGAACGATAAAGAAAAGATTAAACTTATTGCTAAATTAGATAATGATATCAAGGGAATTAAACAATCTTTTTTGTTACATTTTGTTTCATCGACTCATTACCTCATTATTCATGTGAGCGAAGTATTTCTACAAAAATGGATGTTCAAGAAAATATTTTTTTACATGAGGTATCAGAAGATCCCAATAATCCAGACCCAGATAAAATTAATGATTATAGAAAGAAGTTGATGAAAGAGGGTGTTTTTGGTATCAATAAGTTTATGAAAAGAACGAAGCTCCCAACATGGGAAGTGTGTAGTACATTGAAAGTCTTCTTGGCTCAAGGATTTGGTAAGTTTCAAAATGTTTTTGTGTTCACAAACATTTCTTTTTTTTTTTTGTTTGGTCTCGGGATAATGTTGAAATTGGCTAAATGATATTTATTGGACCTGGATTGTACTTGTTCACGCCATTTACGATTCCCGCTCTCATCATCCCAACTATTCGAATACTCCTATGCTTACGATATAATGTTCTTAAGGAGATTAGGATGTTTGAGAAGTTGCAAAGGAAGGGCAGCGACGTGTTGCGAGGCCTAAAACTAAATATGCAACCGGAGTCACACCAGAAAGACAAAAAGCTGTAACATTTACAAAAATTTTTACCAAAAGAAGAAAAGAATAAGGGAAGGGGAAGGGGAAAAGGAGGAAAAGGAAGAAGGAGAGGTAGTGGTAAGGAAGAGGATTGATTTTTTTTTAAACCGGATAAACTTATTTTGTATAACTTACGATCATATATTTCAATAAATCCAAAGAAGATAGTTACGTATTATAGCATTGCTGTATAAATGTATAAATGTACTTTAACGATGCACAAGATTTTTTATTGTTTAAAAAATAACACAAATCACGTTATGCACTTATGTAATGATTATTGAGCATTAAAAAAATTTGTTTGTCAAAAAGGGAAAACATAGAAAAAAAATTTTTATTCCGAGAAAATCTCTACATTTCCATATCTTTGGCTATTTTGGTATATTAAGTTCGGAAAGAACTTGATTAAATTCAACCTTTATTAGTCACATGTGTCGCTTAGCTAAATGAACACTGCCTTAACTATGACCTATTTTGGCTAAGTAACAGGTAAATCATTCATTTTTTTTATTCTTACTACTAATATATTTGTTCTTTTACTCTTTTCCCACCTTGGATAATATTCTTTTAGTGGGGTCAAAATGTTACACCAAATTATTAATGTTATATCCTCGTGGTTAACACGATTTTATATTTATAATGAAGTTTTTGAAGTAAAAAACACGCCCCAAAAACTATTTAAGAAACTTTTAACCATTTTCAAAAATATAAAAAATATAAAAAATATAAAGGATAAATACAAAAAATATAAAGGTTTAAATATAATCACATAATAAATTATGTTACCAATAGATCCACTTTCTATTGGAACAATAACAAAAAAACGAGTTGGACATTTAGCAAATTCAATGTTTTTATCGTTACCAACACCACCATTCGTTGAATCTAAAAAGGAGGAGAAATACAAATTATGTAAGATAGATAATCTATCTGGTGCTTATCTTCCACCTTCTCCCAATTGTGATGGACGTGAGTTATGGCATGATATAGAGGGTGATGAGACTGATTATTTCTCTTTTGCAAAAACTGATTATTTAGACACTCTTACAACTGAAAAAGAGAATAATTTGAAAAATCGGTCAACTCGCGCATTTGCTAGATTAAATTCTTCTACTTCACCTGTAAAGAATTATTCTAATCTATCAAATAATAATAATAATAATAATAATAATAATAATAATAATAATAAAAATAAAAATAATAATAATAATAATAATAACAATAATAATAACAATAATAACAATAATCATAACAATAATAATAACAAAAATGATAATAATTATAATAAAATATTGGAAAACGACGAACTTATCTTACAATTAGAAGACAATAATTTGCCATCTGTTCCACCGATGTCTCCTTCTTCTTCATCTCTTTCGGAAGAATCGGATATCGATGATTTTAATCATCATCAAATAAATACTACTAATTCCGAAGATTCTTCAGTGTCGAAGACACAATATTCTAAAGATTATGATCATAATGTGCTGGATTTTATCAGTCATAATAAATATAATAAATATAATACTGGTAGAGAGAAAAAAGCAAAGAAAGTTGAAAATAATTCAAGACATTCCATAATTAAAAATTTCTTTTGATACCTAAAATAATAATTTAATATAATTTAATATAATTTATAATAGATTCGTTCTTTTTTTAATTTCTTTATTAATTTTAATAATAATTTCAATTTCTGTAAATAGCGCAAAAGACTTGCTGTTTTTTTTTTTTTTAATAATTGACCAATAATTTATTTTTAAACTGTACTTTATTAACGTTAATTACTCTAATAACATAGAAAATTTAAATATTATACTTTAATATACTTTAATATTTATGAATAAATTATGTGATTAAATATTATGATCATTTTCAAAAGTTCCACAAAGATTATATAATGATTCTCTTGTTTCGATGAACTCATCATGTGATAATCCTTCGACACCATCTTGAAATTCAGGAAATAGATTAAAATTTATTTTTTGAAGTAGATTTGTATAAAGTTTTAGTAATTCTTGTACTTGAGTGGAAACAGTTAGACGGGAAAGAGTTGGAATTGATTTAACGGAATTTAATGATGATGAATTCGTAAATTCATCAACATATCCATTTGAATTTAGATTCTTAAATATTTTGGGAAAGGAATTTGGAATAGGATAAGCTAAATTGGTTGAATAAAAAAAATCCATCTCACTTTTCAAAGATTTATATTGTTGAAATATATCTGTTGTGATATCCGTAGATTTTTTTGGATTATCTCTTCTTGAAACATAATTAAATGTATTCGGTATTCCTCTGATTACAACAGATTGTCCAAATATTGTTGGAGGATAGATTTGTTCCTATATATATAAAATAAATAAATAAAAAAATAAATAAATGAAAAAATAAATAAATGAAAAAAAAGGTTAGAAAAGTAATAAAGTGGATGCAGATTTATGAATATTTTCTTATTTCGTACTTGAACTTGTTGAATTCTTTGAATTTGTTTAATTTGTTGAACTTGCGACATTGATAAATCTATACTAATTCCATTTTTGATATTTTTTGAAATTATATTTTGAAAATGAATATCTCCAAATTCACTAATCGGAAAAGGAAATATTAAATCAAGAATTCCAATTTTTGTATTTCCTCTCCATGTTAATCGATTTACAAGATCTCTCATATGTATGAAATCTCGTTTCGATCTTAATATATAAATAATAAAAAATTCTCATAAATATTCTTGTAATAAATAAAATAAATAAATAATTAATTATTAATATTATATAATGTATTGTAATTACCTAAAAGGTAATGTAGTTGTTTCAATTGCCGCAGAAAGAACTCCACTAGAATGATAGGGAAGGCCAAACTATGATGGAAGGTAAATCTAGATAAATTCACGGTTTTCTAATTTTTTAGATGAAAACCAAAATATCAGAGATGAGAATTATGCCCACATTTGGTTGAGTAAACTTTAAAAAAGGTTCGTTCCCCAAAGGAAATGGTGGAATATTCAAGGGAATAAACAATGATGACATCTCTGTCAACTGAATTGTACTAAGCGAACAATTCAAGATTTGTTTTTTAAAATAATTAGCCTAGAAAATATAAAATTATATTATAAAAAAAAAAATTGTTATAAAAATAAATATTTTTTAATATCAATTTAAATAAATTCGGACTAACATTTTCCGGTGATGATGCCAATTTTGGTGATTCGGTTATGCCAAAACTTAAAATTGTATTTTTTGGATACTCTTCACGTAATTGTTCAAGAAAATTACTCGCACATCCACCGAATCCATCAATAGTGTTTACAATTACTTGAAATCCCTGACGATTTTAATGATTTAACAATTTTAACAGGTTAGTTTTCATACACTTATAATTTTTTTTAAAAAAAAATAATAATAATAACAATAAAAACACCTACTTGTATTGAATCACATTCTTCAGCAAAGAATCTAAAATTTTTTTCAAAAGAATTTTCTTCTCCCTTAAAGATAAACCATAAAATTATTATATTGTACTAAATTTTTAATTCAACAAAGAAGAAAAAAAAAAAATCTTACATTTTTGTTTTTTGAGAATACATTTTTTCCATAAGTAAATACATCAAATGGGGAAAATTCATCATCATGTTGAAATTCTGTGATGGTATAAACACTCTGGGGATGATAATATATCCTATTAAAATCTGACCATGTTTTCACCGTTTCATTCAAATTAAAATTTTTCTCTTCAAAATCAATTTCAATATCGTCATTTATGGGTTCCGCAGAAAATGCTTTTTCTTCCTTTTAAAAAAAAAATTAATTAATTAAATTAATAATTGTGCATGTGTATATGTGTACGCGAAGCATATGAATAATAAATAGTAAATTTTTTACCTCTTCATCGAGACTCCTCAAAAATTCATTTTTCGGATATGGCATCTGAGAATAAGTTTCAACCTCCCAATTCCTATACAAATAATTAAACCAATTTAAATAATTAAATTTTCATTCATTCATAAATTGGAAATTTATTATTTTCGTCCCAGTAAAATATTATTACCATAATTGATAACTTTCTTTACTATAATTTGTTGTTGTAAAATCTTCATATAATTTATTCATTTTTTTAATTTGTCCGAATCCACCTAAACAAAATTCATTTAAAAATAATATATATATATATTGAACATATATATGAATACATATATCTAATTTTTACATATAATTTATATTTAAATCTTTCCAACCTTTTAAATCATAAATGATTACTCGTGGCGTATAAGTTTCAATTCCCTTAAATGAATCAATAAATATTTTATTAAAATTTTTTTCACTTAAAAAAAGAATATATATATATAAACCAAAAAACTCACCTTTTGAGAAATACCTGTACGAAAGTGTATATCATGAATAATTTCAGGTTCGGGAGAATTAGGTGAATCATTATAAGTAAAATATGCATCCTATGATAAAATGTAATTTCAAATTCTTTAATTAAATTAAATGATAAATATAATGAATTAATTATGTAAAAATGCAAACCTGTGCATTCCAATAATGAGTTCCTACAAAATTGGAGTAATGTCCAAATTGTAAAGTTATGATTTCGTGCATTCTTGAATTATTACCAATTTTCAGTAATGATCTATATAAAGCAATTAAGAATGATCAAGAATGAAAATGTAAATAAAGAAAAAATAATGTGAATTAAAAACTATTTGATAGATAAAAAAAAAAATAAATAAATAAACAATCCTCTAAATATACTCATTTGGTTGATTCCAATTTAAATCTCCAAAAAACAATAAAAATAATTAAAACGGAAGATATTAATTTTAATTTTTTATTCTTTTTTTTTGGTCATTGATATAGCTTTAATTTTATAGCTTTAGTTTCGTTTATAATTTATTATAGAAGATATATTGTTTTTAATTTTATTTTCTTTATATCAAATAGCTAATGTAATTGTAATAGATACCATAATTACAAAGATTTCACTTTTATAATTGTAATAGATAAACCTATCGTTACACGTATAATGCTAAATCTGATATATATATTTATTGATATCTATTTATTTTTGATATATCACAGCTTTTGGTCGTTCTGGTGCATATTTAGTTTAGGTTTTGCAATAAGTCGCTGCCCTTCCTTTGAGAATTCCTTATAATTTTAAATTTTTTTTAATAATGTTGTATCGTAAACATAAGAATGTTCTGGGATCGTAAATGGCGAAAATAAGTATTCAATCTTATCAGGTAAACAAGAATCGTATTGGATCTAAAATAAGAAGAAATAACTGCAGATTCAGGAATATATCAAAAGCTTACCAAATCTTTGAGCCAGGAAAACACCATTTTGGTAACTCGGTACTTAACACGAACTTATTAAGAGCAAAAACGCCCTCATTCATTAATTTTCTTCTATCTCCACGAATTTTATCTGGGTTCGGATCATTAGAACCTTCTGATACCTCAAGCAAGAACAATGGAATTTGCTTGGGTCGCTCAATACTCTATTAGTATTAAAATTATTTTCTGAATATTTATTTTGTAGAAATATTTTGCTCACATGAAAAATAATGTAATAAGTTGATAAAACAAAATATAACAAAAAAACAGATATGCTAATATGTGAACTGTTGATGTACGTTCAGTGTGTTTTTCATAAATTTTATAACTTTCCATCTTTACCTTAGACCATTATGTTGATCAACTGTTCCAATAAACAATAAATATCATTTGGCCAATTTCAACATTATTCCCTGAGAATAAATAATATATTATATATCAAAGTAAAGAATTTAAATGAGTAAATATGTGTAATGATGTCATTATATTATTGAACAAATATTTTATTTATGTATATATCTCTCGAAAAATCTTTCAAATGATTAAAGCGTACGATTATCATATCTATCTGGTATTCAACGATTAGTGTCCACCCGCCCTCCTTAGATTAACGGTTCTTTATATAATTAAAAATTTTTATAATTATAGTACAAGTTATTAATAGTTCTACAATTAAATGAGGTAAATGGTTAGATAATATGGAGTAGGGGAAGGAACATCCATTACTTTACAATGTAAAGGGGACTAGGATCCCGGAATGAAACGAATTAATTGGTTTGTGACTTCTTTCCATTTGTGTAGGCTAAAATCGTGAGCAACCACGTAAACACTCCATGTTGTTTCGGTGGGAAATTTTTGGCTCCAAAATATGTCCACGACGTCATCACTCATGTATAGCTTGCAGAGGAGATTCTCGAGATCTTCATTCCAGGGAATTGTTTGAGTTTTCCTTCGGAGGTTGCATTATCACTAATTCCTACCTTCACTCTCAGAATAATGTTGCTCGTATGTCAATTCGTAGATTAGATCTTTAACTTCCTCATAAGTCATATCGTAAATTTTTAAGTTGTGAAAATCAAAGGGGTTAGATTTTTCATTTGGTTTTAATCCTTTGGCTCCTCGTATAAATTCTGTAAATGAAAAATACTTTTCATCTTTTGTGCAAAGAACACCTTCACACAATGTTGCCTTAAGATTATGATTTTTATCTACGTATTCTACAGTTCCCCCTTCTTTCAAAAGTTTCCACTTACATACAAGATCAAATTTAACAGGAGATATAGGTGGTCTGAAAATAATGTGAATATATCTACGAAGTGGCTCGTCAGTAAAGTAATCATTAATCTTCCCCGTTTTGATAAGTTGATCGTCACGGAATTCAAGTTCCTCATCGCTATCTATGCGAATTTGAATCTTCCATAACTTGAGCATTCATACATTGATAACATGAAGTGGTAGTCTTTTCTCCTTAATGACTTCTTTGAGTTGATCAATGGTCTTGTCTCTGTTTATTTCAATAGGAAAAGCTTTGTCATTTTTGTTTCCTTGAGGACAGTTTAATGTAATTATGTCCATTTATTGAATGATCGAATAATCAAAGAAAATTCCAGAATTTATTGCAACATTCATCAACATTCACATGATGTTGATCGAGAATATCTCGGAAAAAATAAGATTCGTCATATTAGTCATATTTAGTTATTCCCATGATAAATTAAATATACATTTATTTTTTTAAAGTTAATCAGATTATGTAAAAATTCTAGAGATGGTTCCATTTTTTAATTTTTCTTCATAAACCATAGTAATATCTTGCATTAACATTGATTAACATTGTCAGGACACATTACGCTCATATCCCATAAATTTCAAAAATTAGGGAAAGAGAAAACACTTTAAAAAGAATCCATACTAGGAAATGGTGATAAAATTTATTATGTTTTCTGATAATAAACAAATGAGGTGCAGGGAAATCAAATGCTGAAAAACAAAATGATGAGCACGTCATGAACTAATAAAAAGTTATTATTATTTCAGAAAAAACGTTTTACCCAGTATAAAAATTTATCGGAACATGAGGCTCAAAAAAAGATTAATAACGAAGTCGGAGAACCTTACCAAAGAAGTTTCCAAACCTACAATTTGAAAGAAAATATAAAAAATTAAGTATCAAAGAAAATATTACATCAGTAAATTTTAATAGGCGAAGGCCTCCGGATGATTTTTTACGTTTTTTTGAATTCGCTCGTGATTTATAAAGCATAGAGCGATTTTTTACTAAGGGCAATATCTTTTACTATAAAACCATATGATTAATAATGGTCGATGACGTATCATACTTTTCTTTAATAATAAATTTCTTTATGTAAATTATTTTATACCATTATATTATTGTATTTATAATTAATTAATTTATTATCTAAATTATTTAGTATTTAGTTTAGTTATTTTAGAATAATTAAAGTAATAAAAAGTAATAAAAACGCAAAATGAGATATTAATGAATTTTTTATTTTTTTTTATCGATTGGTTTTTGATGTTCGGTTTCTTTCTTTAAAGCATGTTCCGGAATTTCTTTTCTAATCTTTTTGACTTCCTTAATTTCCTCATCAATCGGTTGACTAAATGGTCGATGAGTTCTTTTATTTGGAGTGACGATATCGTGTTTTTTTAGATAAGTATATAATATCTACGAAATAATTAAAAAAAAAAAAAATCAAAAAATCAAAATCAAAATCAAAAAATAAATTTCGAATTTTTAAACAAATTTGATAAATAATAATACATATAATATCTTTTTTTAAACAACGTATACCTTTTCAGCCGGAGTAGGATTAATTCCTAAATCTGAAAGTTTCAAAATATGAGGATCATCCGAAACGATATTATCTTTTTTTAATAATTTAATTTGATCACGAGTAATTGTAAATAAATTTGGAGGTAATTTTTCTAAAAAGAAACCCTGAATAAAAGAAATTGACCAAGGTATCGATATAACAGGACGTTTTATTCCTGCTTGATTTAAAGTCAATTTTATTATTTCTTTATAAGTATATACTATTATACAGTATAAGAAGATTAATAATAAGTATTAGTTGTCATATAATAAGGAAAATAATAATAATGATGATAATAATAATAATAATAATAATTTACCAGTTGGACCACCAATTTCAAAAATTTTTTCTTCAAATTTTTGACGATTTTTACTAATATTATATATCGCCATTGCTAAATCCCATACATAAACTGGTTGAAATTTTGTTTTGCCACCACCAAAAACTGGCATAACCGGTAAAATTTTTGATAATTTTGCAAATCTCTAAATAAATAAATAAATAAAGGTAGATATATCTCTTATTTATTAATTAATAATTGATACAATGTAAATATAAAATAATAATGAGATGTGTATTCAGTGAAGTAAAATTTTTTTTCACATTAAAAAAATCATCTTCAGGACCAAAAACGATACTTGGACGAATGATCGTAGCTTTAGGAGATAATTCACGTACGGCTATTTCTCCCAAACCTTAGAATATGATAAAATTTATTAAAATATAAAAATATATTAAAATATATTAAAAATATTAAAATATATTAAAATATTAAAAAATATATAAATATATTAAAATATATATTGATATATTAAAATATATATTATCAAGGAGAAGAATACCTTTAGTTTTAGCATAAGGAATTTCACTATTTGGGTCTGCACCTATAGCACTAATGTGTATCAGATGAGCATTATAAACTTCGGCAGCGAACGCAACGTTACATGCACCTTGATGCTGAACATTTTCAAAGGTATATTTCGGTGGATGTTCATGCATAATTCCTACTAAATTTATTATAACCCCTGCACCCTTGCATGCTTCTAATACATCCGATCGAGAAGTTATATCGCCTGATATGGGAGGAAGAATTTGCATTCCTGTTTAGAAAAGTTATTATTAAGATGAGGTGATTTATGTAATTAATGTAACGGAAAATTATTTTCGTTTGATCATTTAAATAATTACCCAATGATCTCAAATCCTCAACATTTTTAAGATTTCGCGCAGTTAATTGGATCAAAGTTGTGGGATCCCGAATGAAAGCTTTTGCAACATATTTTCCTGAATTTCGTAAATATTATGAATATCATTTATATTTATATTATAAATAAAATATTTATTAACACCGAAATTTTTATCTCACCAATAAGACCAGATCCTCCAATAATGACCACTTTTTGTGCTTTATTATTTGTAACGTAAGAACGTTTACAAAAAGATATTAATCCGTTAATTGACATATTAATATATAGATATATTTGATATATCCTTGTTTTAATTTTTTGATTATTTTTTACTTTTGTGAGACAAAACAAAATATATTGAGAAAAACCGTTTTTTTTAATAGATTTTTATTTACGTAAATATTATGTAATTGATGACACGCCACTTAAAATATTCTCAAACCTTATGTGAGCACAGCCTCCTCTCATTTATATTACCCGATAAATTTTTTGATTTCTAGCATTGAAAAGAAATTTAATTCTCATAAAGGAAAATTTTATTTCACAATAATTCTCATAAAAAGGAAAGTTTTATGCGACGACGAAATCTCAAATAATATTTTTCAACAAAATTAATTAATATTCGTGTTACTGAGAAAATCCTCTTTTTTTTTTTTTTAAAGTTGCCTTTAGGCGAGACGAGACGACAAAGAAAAAATAGAGAAAAAACTTTTCAACTTTTAAACAATATATCCAAATATAAAAACAAATGATATCATTATTATTTTACCAATAAGATATAATTGATTGAATTTCTTTCAACATATCAAAGAAAGAAAGAATTACAATTCTTTTAATTTATTTTTAGTATCATTTTTGCAATATTCTTTGTAATATTATTTTTATTTATAGTAATATTTGTATTATATTATTTGTAATATCTCCCACGCTGTATTACAGAGTAATTTATTTCCAAAAACATTTCGTATAATATAATTTTCAAAATCGACCGGAATTTACTCTTAAGGAATAGTCAATTAAAAGTTAATTTTTTTATTAAAATGAAAAACCTATAACATTTAATTTGAATCAATTCATTAAACTTATTGAACTTACACGTGAAGACTAATTAATTATTTTATTTATAAATTATTATTAAAATACACGCGAGGGAATGATAATTTACCTATCTGCGGACTATTTTATCCGATTCTTTATAATTATCGTCTTATCTTTTCTTTTCTTATCATTTGTATAACGTAAATAAATAAATGTTTATTCTAACCGATACATCCGAAATAGGTATTAAATAACAAATATGTAACCACATCTCAAACATTTTCGTTTATATAATGAATATAATTGTTTATATTAGGTTTAAAGTGTACAATATAAAATGAATAAAGTGTCATAAAGTCTATAGTTTAAAAAAAAAAAAAAAAATAACATATATATAAAGGGTGATTTATAAAATGAGTATCAACTTATCAATAACCGTTTGTTTTTTTAAAAAAAATAAATAAATAAATAAATAAATAAAAAGAAGATAAAATTTTATACAAAGATAACTCAAAAAATGAATCAAAATATTAAAATAAATCAAAATATTACTATTTCTCCTACCAATTCAATCGATAGTAGTGGTTATAGTATTTCTACTACATCATCCGCAAATAGTCAAAACCTAAATCGACCAAAACCTTGTGATTATATTAAAACTCATAAAAATATATCATTTTCATTTGCAGAAAATTTAAATAGTTTTCAATTAGGAAATTTGGGGGATTCTGATACATATCTTGTGGGTACCGTTCATTTAAATTATCCTCGAGTTTGTGCGGTAAAAAATGTTTTTCTTCATTTTAAAGGAGTAGAAAAAACTTGTTGGTATAAATCTCAAGCTAGAACAAAAAATATTTATTCAGGTGAACATGTATTAGTTGATCAATCAAATAAAATATGGGAAGCATTTGAAGAATCAGAAGGGATAACTACTTTAGATATACCATTTAAAATACAACTTCCTTATGGACTTCAAGAAACAATAACTACCAATATAGGAACTGTACAATACGTTCTTCGTGCATGTGTTAATACTAAAGGATTAATAAATATACCTAATGCACATATAACCAAATTACATTGTCCTTTAAGACAAACATTAATATTAAATAATTCATTATCATCATCATATAAAATATGTGGAGAATCACCCAATGGAATTGAATATACATTTTTATTACCACCGAATAAAACTTTTAATATGGGTAGTTATGTATCAATTCCCATGATGATACGATTCTCACGTCCTGGATTAGGAATTGATAGATTAGAAATAAGTTTAAAAGCTTTGATGGATTTTTCATGTTCAACTCAAAATGAAAAAACTCAAGTTGAACAAAAAATTGGTGGATTATTAATTTCCAATTCGGAATTACGAAATGTAATATCCAATAATTCACAATATCGTTTAGGAGAATATATTCATAATATAAATTTATTTGTTCCTCGTGATATACAACAAACTTATCAAGGAAATCTTATTAATATATCACATCAATTAAATATAAAATTTTGTTTATTTGGATTTGAGGCAGATTTTCAAGTGGATGAATATATTAGAATTTCTCGTATATTTGAAAAATTACCAAATGAAAAATCAATTCCAACACCATCTTCTCTCAATCATAATTCATCAATGTATAATAATAATAATAATAATAATAATAATAATAATAATAATAATAATGACGATTATTTTGATAACGTACAATTATTACAATTACAACAACAACAACAACAACAAAATATATTTCAAAATCAACAACAAAATGTACAATTAACACAACATGAATCTTTTGATAATCAACTTCTTCGAAGTCGCTCAATAAATTTTCATCATTTAGTTGCACCCTTCGACAATAGATATGATCAATTCTATGATGATGATGATGATAATAATAATAATAATAATAATAATAATAGACAACAATTATTATCAACATCACCTTCACATCAATTATTTTATCCACAACAACATTTTTTACATCAACAACCATCTCTTAGTAATCTAAGTACTCATAGTAGTATTAGTAGTAATGGTAGTAATCATTTTCATCGTTATAATTCATTAGGACGAAGAAAATTACCACAATTATCAATACATGAAGATTCATCTGAATCTGATATATCTTCTCATTCATTACCTTCTCCTCCTACTCCTGTTGTTAATGAAATAAATACAAATACAATAAAATCACCTTATCCAACACCACTTTCTCCTCCTCCTTATCGTCAACCTGTGATCCGTGAATCTTCATTTGGTAATAATAAAGATAATGCTAATTATATTAAATATAAAAAATATACAGAGTAATGTTATTATTATTATTATTATTATTATTATTATATAGATTTTTATTATTATTATTATTTGTAAATCCTAATATAAATAAATATAAATAAATATATAATATAAATATATAATATAAATATATAATATAAATATATTATTATTATTAAATAAACAAACTTAAATAATGTCATATTGCATGCATTTATTTAATTAATCTTTTTACTAAATAAATTAAATAAATATGGTTTCTGCATGTAAAAAAATTCTGTTCCAAGATGTGATAAATATATTACCCCTGATAAACCCTAACCCATGCATTTAGGTATGTGGGGTGTGGATAGATCTGCAATTTCATCATCCCCATACAAAATTTTCCTTACTAAGCAAACAGAGCAAACAGGCAAACAAATGTGACTATGCAATTAGTGGTAATTTATTTAAGCGTATTCCGGAGATAATTCATTCTTTTGGACGTACAAAATGGAGTATCCAAACATTTGTGTAACTTTTGGATACAAAGAACAAAAAAAAAGAAGCTTCGATCCCACAAAAAAAAATAAATAAATATTCCTTTAATAATTTATTTCGCATTTCACATTTCACTTTTCGCATTTAAAAATTAGCAATAAATCATGTGTAATAGTAGTAGACAAGCGCGTCGAGAAGAAAGACACATTCGTCGTGAAGAAAAAAATATACGTCGAATAGAGAAACATAAACGAAAAGCTGAAATACTCGCTATGCGTCAAGAAATTCGGAATCTAAGACATAATAATGATTCCAATTATTGTCATCAATATTCTTCTCACAATGATACACAACAAATAGAATCATTTGAAGTTGAAGAAATGATTGCTACTTTGAGAATAATGTTTCCTGAATGTGAACCTCAATATATTCGTACTTGTATCGTTCAAGAAACGAATGATCACGTTCAAAAAGTTACTGACAAATTATTGTCATTACCTTATCCAAAGATCACTATCGTTTCAACTGCACCTTCTGCTCCCCAATTACCTCTTTTAAACGATGAATATGATTATTCATTACCTCCATATGAACCACCTTCTTATAATGAAGCCTTACTAAATCTAAAAGCACAAGAGTCACTGAAAGAGGAATTTTCTGTATCAAGTATTCCCAATGATAATAAGACTGAATATTCTACCCCAAATGACATTTCCCATAATTTTAATATTTCTCTGAATGATTCTCCCCCAAATAACTTTTCTCGTAATTCTTCCGACATTTCTAATAATGATCATACTCTACCCATATCCACCAATAACGTTGATGATAATAATAATAATAATAATAATAATAATAATAATAATAATAATAACAGTAGTAATAATAATAATAATAATAATAACAATAATAATATCTCATCATCATCTAATGAACAAAGATCCACGAAACGTCATCCAGGCATGGTAGAACAAATTTGTAAAACACATTCAGCAATTCTTACTCGTCCACTCCCGGAAAATTTCATTCGATCCTTACCTCCAAATTCCACTCAAACATGTGCCATAATACCCAAAAATGGAACTACCATACAAAATGGTTTTCCCATCGCCAGTTATCCTACTCAAGAATTTGAATCTCTTGATATATCCCATAATGATTGGGAAATTTTTATTAAAGGATTAAATATGTTATTAGGTGTATCAAATTCTCCTGAAGTATCAACATCATCAACATCAACTTCAACTTCTTCTTCTCCCACTTCCAATTCAATATTTGGTCATCTAAAATGGATTGTTGGTGGTGGTAATAATTTTAGTGGTGGAAGTAATAATAATTGTAATGGTGGTGATAAACAAATGGAAGAATTTACAAGATTAACAAAAAAATATTTGAAAAGATGGAATAATGAATTCTTTAAACCTAGGAAAGTGGAAATTGAATTAATTAGCAAAAATAAGAATCATGGTAGAAGTATTTTTAAGAATAAATCGGATTATGTACAATATTTATCTGTTAAAATTTTTATGTAAAAGGACTTTATATATATATATATATTATTTTGGGTGCATTGATTTTTACATACTGTATAAAACATTTTGTTAACTATTTTTATCAATTATATATTTTATTTATATTATATTAAACTTCTGTATAAATTTTTACAAAAAATCAATAAGTTCATAATTATTGTTTTTTTTTATGAAAAAAATTACAGTCAATCAGTCAGTCAGTATAGGTATAACTTTATTTATAATAATTAAATCTGAAAATCACAAAAAAATAATAATAAGATCTATTGTGTTAAGATGTTAAGTACATCATTGAAATATATGTTTACTTTACATCTTAATACAAGATGTTCATTCCATTGCATCTTGTATCATTGAATTTCACTAATATTATTACTTATGAATTCATAACAAATGAGATGGTGATGAATAAACAATAGGTTGAAATTGTTGCTGGCGAATTGGCAGTTTGATTCTATCATTACTACAGCCTAACATTTTTAATTTACAAGAATTATTAGAATTGATTCTAAATTTTTAGAAGTAGATCAATCTCTTTATCCCTCTGTACAATGGAAACTCATCCGACAAAATAAATTTAGAGACTATACGCGTAAATAAAAAATCATGAGTCGATATGTTCCACATATTAATTTAAACAAACTACTATTTTCCAGATAAAGTGTTTGAAACTTCCCAAATATAATTCATTTAAATCTTGAGGACTGCAGTTTAGTATTGATTAAGATTGCTAACGCATTTCCCAACTTAGAATATCTCAAAATCCTTAATAATGATTTGCTTACTGATGAAACTTTATGCAAAATCGCATAAGTTTATCATAATTTAAAGTATTTCAATATTTATAACCATCAACTTTCGGATAAATCTATCTGTACAATCGCATAATCGTGTCACGACTTAGAAGAACTGAATTTAAAAAAATCACAATATATGAATTAGGAAGATCAAAAGATTGTATTAATGAGTACTAAACATATCCAAGAACGATCCAATTCTCTTCATAAAGTTCTTTCTTGATCTTGTTCTTGTTGTTTTATAAAATTTCCATTATAAAAAAATTCTATATAACGAATACCTTGAATTTTCAATAGCTAAATCAATCTGGTCTACGAGACATCCAATAATTCCATTGCTATTTTTCGGCAGAGTTCTTGGAGTTCGTGAGGATTGAAACGGATACCACGAATTATAGTTCTTTATATTGTTAAGAGTGACCCTTCTATCTTGCCCGATGATGAGTCAAAGACTCGAAGCTTTACTTCTCCAGAAGAAAAACGTAAGCATGTTATTAAGACATAGGATTCACTGATGATTTTTCAAGTTTTATGTTCCTGGAAATGATGATAATGCAGGATATTATTACAATCTAAATGATGGAGAAATGATTTATAAAGAATCGATTTCTATTTCTTCTTACGAAATGAGTTGCCTGGAATCATCTCAAGAATGTTTTGCATAATCTATTAATTTTTAGTATACGATTTACACTCCCTGGTCAAAAGTATTGGACCAAAGAATTTTTTTAAAATTTATTGGTATTTTTCAAAAGGTAATTATGACACAACTGGTAATCTAAATGACATGAATTTTTTTTTATTTGAATTCCTTGATCAAGGGCTATCAATTAATACCTTTTTAATAAAGATAAATGCATATTTGTGCAGCAATTTAGTTTCAAATAAAATTAATCAAAAATAGTAAATTAATTCTTTGAAATAAATATTAGTCGATCTTGATGAATATTGATCGTAAATATGAACTTGTTTATATAGACTTGTAGCTAATAACCAGAGCTATAACTTTTATTAATACCATATTTAGAATTTTCTAGTAAAAATCAGAAGTTTACTTAGACACGACTAAAAACGATCGAAATTATTAAAAGTTTGACTTAACATCAACAAAAAATTATTAAAAGTTGTCATATATAAAACTTTATTTTTACTAATGAAATTTTAGAAATCATACTAAGTAATCTTAAAGATAAATATTTTGTACATCTACTGTAAACTTTGTAGACCAATATTATAAGAATTAAAGAAATAATTAGTAATTGAAATTTAAAATATAATTGATAATTATTTTATCAATTGATATACTATAGATCTAAAATCTTTACAGTAGATGCACAACTATTTTATCCTTAAGGTTACTTAGTATGACTTTTAATGTTTTATTGTTAGATAATAAAGTTTTATATGTAACAACTTTTGATTTTTAATTTGATTTGAGTGACCGATGCGGTCTCATAGCAAGCGCTACAGCTTTAATTAGTACCATATTTAATATTTTCCATTAAAAATTAGAACTTTACTAGACATAATTATAAATATTTATATAAATATAATATAATTTAATTATTAAAAAATTTTATTTAATAAATTAAATGAAATTTATATTATTTTATTTACCAAAATATAAATTTTTATTTTGTGATTAATATTTTGTTGGGTTGCCATGACTATCTATTACAGTTTGAACTCTTCTTGGCATACTTTCTACTAAATTTTCTAAAATTTCTAGTTCAATTTTATACCATTTCTCCTCTAATACAACCATTAATTCAGTAAGATTTTTTGGGTGAGAATTATGTTTACAAACTTTCCTTTCTAAAACATCCTATAAATATTCAATTGGATTGAGATCTGGTGACTGTGCAGGTCAAGGAATATTTATTATTGAATTATTCTCTATCCATTGTTTAACTATTTTTGCTCAATGAACTGGAGCATTATCATCTTGAAAAACATATTTCAAATTATTTTCCAGCTCATTAATAAATGGTAAAAGATTACTTTCCAAGACTTCAATATACTGTATATAGAACCTATAATTTTACCAGAAACTTGAACTAATGGTCCAATTTTGTTTTTTGTAAAACACCCCATACCATTACACCTTTATTTCCTGACTTTACTGTTGGAATTAAACAACTCACATTATATTTTACATGTGGACAATGTCAAACCCAATAATGTGCATCATTTTGAAATAATAAGAATTGAGATTCATTACTCCAAATTATTGTATCCTATTCAAAATCCCAATTTTTTCTAGTACAATACCATTCTAATCTTTTTTTGCAATTTGTTTCAGAAATAAAAGGTTTTTGTTTACCAGCTCGACATAAAAACCTTCATTATGTAAAGTACATTTTATAGTAGAAGAACTTGTTGAAATTAGTAATAATTGATTGAATTTTTCAGTTATTTCATCTAAAGATTATTGGCAATCTTCTTTTACAACTTTTACAAGTTGTCTAATATGTCTTTCTGTTAATTTAGGTGATCTACTTGACCTGGAAGCACATGAAGTTTGATTTTCTGACCTATATTTTTCTATAATATTATGTATAGTAGATTTGGAATGATTGAAAATAGCCTCAATACTTCATTCATTATAACCACCTTTCCAAAGACCAATAATTTTCCCATGCTCAAATTCTACAAGTTCTCAAATTTTAGGCATCATGAAAAATATATTTAAATCTAGAAGGTTATGGCTATGTGGAAAAAAAATGACTCATTTAATGATTTATAAATAGTTAAAAAATGTTTATCATGTAACAATTATTATATGATCTAATTTTTATAATCAGAGAGTACAGATTATCATAAAATTTGCTATAGAGAGTTTATAAAATAAATATTTCTAAGTTTGGAAA